GATTGAAAATGGGAAGCATTCTCCCCCACCCCCCACCTCGCCGTACCCCTCCCCTTGTTAAATTTTTACCAACTGAGCCTGGTGATTGAAGGAAGTGACAATGAATGATGCAAAAGGTGAGAGATCCCACAGTAACAGCAGAGAAGGGGAAAAGAAAGGCCAGGGAAAGGAGGCAAGCCTGGGAGGAGGGGATTTGTGCCCCGAGCTTATGAATATTCTAATGGTTGTATGTTCGGGAATCAGGAATTTGAAAGTCTGATGGTTGTTGTAATTACACATTCATCTTTGCTGTTTAGTTAAAGCCACATATGTCGTAGCAAGAAAAATTGTGACCTGTTATTAAAATCAGTTGTGTTTTCCCTGCAGATATCAAGATGAGTGGGGATGTAGCAGATTCCACGGATACTCACAGTGCCCTCAGCCAGGTGGAGACAGGTAAGGGTCTTCTCTTCTGGGGAATGAAACACGAAAGCACAGGTGGGAGCGAGCTGTTGCAAATCATCATGGAACAATGCGGTATCTTTTCTTGCTCAGTCTTTCAGCCAATCAAACCCCAAAGCTGGGGCTTAGGCAATGAAGGAATTCCCTTAGAGACATAGGATGTGACCCTGGAGGCTTTGAACAGTAGATATTGGTCTGGAGGGGGACAAAAATCCCTGGAACTAGGCTAGGAAAGGGCCAGATCCTGAAAAACAAAATGGAAACAGGAAAGTTAGGGAGATCAACTTCTTGATGTGCCATTCCAACACCCGTGGAAGCAGCAGGCTGTGGTCCTAGCCGCTCTGACTGATGGAAAGCACTGTGTGTCTTCAGTAGATGGGGACCAAGGCCTTTTAACCCCAGATTTCTCAACAGGCCTACACAAGGAACCAGCCAAAGAGGCCCGTGCGCAAGTCTTCCTCTTCCAAATTACATGCATGTGGGTGGTAAATAGACCCAGAAAGAAAAAGGCTCGGTGCCTGGAAGATGACTTTGTTTTGTAAAGAAGAGAAAGAGGGCAGGAAAGAATTGAGAAGAAAGTTTCATAGCTCTCTGCTTTTAACTCCATAGCCCAAGCTTTGCTTTGAGAGCTCCATATAATTAAAAAGAACTTAAAGAAATATGAGTATAAATTGTAACACCACCAAATAACTTTAATAGCCTTCCAACAAGACCTCAATTAGTCTTTCATCTGGATCATTAGAGACATAGAAATTAGAAGTGGAAGAGAATCAATGTCCCCCAGAGCTAAACTCTTTTCCCAAGTCTTCAGGTGCCGTCTAATCCCATTCTTGAAGCTTGGGTCAGGGGCAAGATAATTGGGGGTCCTGTGGAGGGCATCTGCAGGATACACTTACCATAAACTTTTCTGCCCCACAATTTAATATTAAAACAATCCTATTGCACAGGTAACAATACATGTTAGAGCTGTAGGTTCTATGGTTTTCTTTGCGAGTAGGGAGAGCTGGGCTAGGAGACTCTCTGGGCCAGTTGCACTCATTTTTCGATTGACTTAATTGCTGAGTATGTTTTACTGAGGGTCTCTGGAGGGGGGCACTTGTTCTCCCCAGTTGAGCAGAAAATTTCCTCCAACCCAAAGAATCAGAGCAAGGTTTTAAAATCAGTTCAGCTGGGGGTGCCTGGGGGGGCTCAGTCGGTGAGGCATCCGACCCTTGATTTCAGCTCAGGTCATGATCTCAGGGTTGTGGAATCGAGCCCTGCGTTGGGCCCCACACTCAGCGTGGAGTCTGCTTGGGATGCTCTCTCTCCCTCTGCCTCTGCCCCTCCCCCTGCTCACTCGCTCTCTGTCTCTCCATCTCAAAATAAATCAATAAAATTGTTAAAAAAGAAAATAAAATCAGTTCAGCTGGAGAGGGATAGGCAGTCTCGGCTCTGACACTCTTCCCTGGAGAAGACTCAGACTCCAGAATCCACTATCAGGAGAAGCTGGATTGCTCTTTCCTGGTAGCAGGCTGGCTGGAGCCAGTCCTGTTCACCTGGGCCAGGTCTACTACCCCAGGTGTGTGGGGACACAACTAAGAGAGTGCCTATGTGGAAAGAAGACCACACTTAGCTGGCTGGCTGGCATGGGCGTTCTGTGACTAGCTAAGCGACCGAGTCAGGGTAACCGTGTTGGGAGTGGGAAGGAGCTACATGGAACCCTAAAAGGTGAGCCAGGGGAGAGAGTGAGTTCAGATTCTGAGTGGGGGTTAGGAAGACGAAGGTGTTAAGAGATGATCTGTGCACATTCTGGCCTCCTATCTGGAACTCTGGGAGCTATGTATAGACTAAGTTGAAGGAGAAAGAATCCAGACATAAACTAGCACTTTGGGGATCTGTTTGCCATCCCAGGGCTACTCCCAGTTCCGTATGTGACCTTATCCCAGCTACTTTGCCTCCTTAGGAGGCAAGAACAGATGATCTTCGAAGGATATGGATTTAAAATCACAGCCTAGCTGCTCACCAGTTGTATGATCTGCTAAGTTAGTTTAGCCTCGTCTCTTCTGTAGAGGGGGGTTAATTAATGTAGCTGAGATGACCTTTAAAGCCCTTAGCACACTGCCTGACACAATGCAGCTGTGATCATCATCCCGTCTAATGACATCTTCAAGATCCTGTGATTCTGTAGTTTACAGAAGGAGCATCGCTGCTAAGCACTTGGGGGCCCTAGGTAGCTGGGATGCCCTTCTCCCGTTCACTCTGGCCAAGTGGGTCAGCCCCGGAGGCTGGTTTTTCTCGTTTCCCATTCAAGAAAGGATTCTGTGTGGGTCTTCCTCAACTCCAAGGAGACCAAGAAGTCCGTGCTCTGTGCTGTCTGGAACTTCTCCACCCCTAGATTCTTCACTTCTAGGGACTCAGCGCCATGGCTGGTACCATCCATACTTAGGTGATCATCAAATTAATGTATGTTTTTAAGGGCGAGAAAAAAGAGGTAGCTAATTAAAGTAACCAAACTTCCTGGAAAGTCATTCTGACTCATTTTTTTTTTTTTTACAGAGAAAAGCTTATTATGAGTCACAATGGTTACCAACTTGGTTAAATGGCTTCCTTTGGATTTTTAAAAGGCAGATCCCCCTTCCCAGCAGTGCGTGAATTAGGGGGTGGTTTGTCTCTGAGTTTTAAAGGAACTACAAACAAAAGGTGACCTAGAAACCCCCAGCTCCCTGAGAGCACCTTCTGTGTTGTGTGAAATCCCCAAGGGGCACAAGGGCTGGGAGCTGGGAAAGGGAAGTCATTTCCCCATCCACACAGGCTAGGACTGCGAAGGAGGACGTTCTCAGGTCCAGACACAGACCTCCTGGCTGGCAGAGACCTGACAGGCAGCTCATTCATTCTTCCCTTTCCTCCTGCTTATAAGGAGCTGAGGCACGGACAGAGGATGAACTGCCCAAGGCCTCCGAGTGTCTTTGTGGCAGCACTAGAGTCCAGAAATCTCCTGATCCCCTGTTCAGTCCTCCTTCCCGACACCCTTGGCACCCCCCTCCCAGAGGACTGGAGCCAAGTTTCTAGATTTCTGAATCATCAGCTTTTCTATCCTTTCTTTTATGTCCCTGTTATTTTTCCTTCATTCTTGAGACTGACAACATTTTCTTTCCCTGTTCTCAACTGAGTGGTTGATAAGAATATACAGGCTTACCGACATTTCGAAAGCCCCCGCATCTGTAACTAACAAACCCCAAGCACCCATACAGCTAACCCTGGGACTTTTGACCACACGGGTCACAGAGTAGCCTCAAACACAGCGGAGGACAGACATGCTGGGCACGGGAAAGAGGAGAGAAAGTCCAGCCACGTTCACGCAGCCTCTTCCCCATACCTGGGCACGTGGACGTGTGCCTAGGATTTCACGTGCATCATCTCATTTCATTCTTATGATCCCTGTTTTTATCAAGGAGGAAATTGTGGCTAAAGAATGAGAAACTGACTTGCCCAGGATTGTACAGCTCTGAACCAGGAATCAAACTCAGGCCTGACTCCTTTGGATTCTTATCTTGGCTCTGCCATTACCTCTCTGCCCAGATTACTGGGCAAGTGTTTCCGCACGGGGACCTTTGGATTTGGGCTGGATAATCTCTAGGAGCTGAATCTTGAAAACAGTGTACATGTTCTGCTTTTCCAAATTCTTTGCCATCACTTTCCACGTCGTGCATTTGTGTAAAGGCTTCCCCAGAGCTAAGCCCTCCCTCGCTACTGCATCGCCCTCAGCCCCTCCCTAGTCCCTTTATTCCAGTTGCCTTCTCCGTGTCCCCTTGGACACCGCCAGCCTCCTTGCTACATTTATCTCTGATCCTCCGCTCCGACCTAGCTGGTAGTCCTGTAACCAACATCCAAGGAGCACGCTAGTGTAGACCCTGGGCTCAAAAAGATGAAGAAACAGTCCGTGTCCTCAAGGGGCTTTCCCTTCTATCACAGGAATTCATGGCAGAAGGGATGACAGTGGCAATTGTGTCTAAAAGAGCACAAACATCCAATGCATTTGGCCCTTCCAACAGTTCTGTGTGGGTAGATGGTATCATCCCACTTTGAAGATGAGGGATTTGAGGCTGATTTTCCCAAGATCCCATACCTAGCAAATGATAGAGTTAAACCTGCGTCTTTCTACTGACTTTCTACCCAAAGATGGGGGTGGGAAGACTGGGGACCAACACAGGAGCCAGTGATAGAGGACACAGGAGACTGGTAGCATCAGGAGAGGTCCCAAGATTATGGAGGGGGCACCAGCCAACAGGGCTGGAGGGAAACCAAACCCCTGGAAGGTGGGTTGATTTAGTCCAAGAGGCAGAAGCCTTATCTGGGGCCAAAACATGCTTCCTGGGGAAGAGCAGGAACTCTGGTGAAATGGGGAGGGTGAGAATCTAACCTCAGAAAGAATTTTCTCCTTCCCTCTCATCCTGAGCCAGCCTCACTAAGGCACCAGTCTCCCCCCGCCCCCAACCCTCTGATGGGACACTGGGGTGGGGTTGCAAACCGAGGTGATAGTAGAGCAAATTCCTTGGCACCCTTGACCTGCTCAGAGATATGGGAAGGAAGATTTCTGTGAGGAGAACCATGGGAGGACAGGAGCCTAGAGATGAGGGAGGGACTGAGCTTTGTCAGTTGTCCATTCCTGCAGCTCCTCTCCACCCTCAGTTGTCCTGTCAGTGAGGCGGAATGGCTAACACTTGCCCTACCCTCCAGAAGGACCGCCAAGGCATCTTAGCTCTCTGGGGACCCTTTTGCCCTTCACCTGAGAACTTCCAACATGGTTTTACGAAGGAATGGGCATGACCATGTAGGGAGTACAGATAGGCTGGTGCCTCTCGTAAGGTCCCACAGGAAGAATGAGTAACTGACCCAAGACTAGAAAGTCCTTCTCAACCAATTCATTCCTCACCATCTCCACCCTACTGAATCCTCAGGAAGAGAAGCCAAGGGTAAAGAAACTATGTTTCATCACAGCCAAGAAGTGAGGTTCT